CTGATATCCCACCAGTATGTAACCCTTGTAAATCCAAGATAGGTACTCTAGCACATTCTTTCTGGGCATGTAGTAAACTTCATTCATATTGGAAGTGTATTTTTCAGTTTTTTCTGAGGCTTTTGGTAAGAATTTGGTACCCAGCCCCTTGGTAGCGATCCTGGGGGCCACAAGTGTCCTTTCTTCCGTCAGAAAATTTTTAATGAAGAGCTATTCAATTTGGGAAGGTGATTGCCAAAAAGCTGATTTTACGTGTATGGAAAATGGATTCTGTGGCTTCATATAATTTGTGGCTGGGAGAATTGTCAAACACTTTACATCTGGAAAGATTAAGATTCTATAACGAAGATAGAGGAGACAAGTTTGATAAAACATGGGACCTGGTATTGAATAACCTTAAACATGTGAGCTCATAGACATTGGCTATTGTATAAAACCTCACTGTGCAAATGAGTATGTGATTTTGTATACGTCGAACTCATTTATTTTTTCTACTTTTAGATGTTTTTGTTTATAGTACCCATCTTAACTATGACCATGGAATATTGTTGTAATCCTTGATGTGCTGTGTTCTGTATGTTATGTGATCTTTGTTAGGTGTTCTTTTTTCTGTTTTTTTCATTTCTTTTTCTTGAAAATCAATAAACATATTTCTTAAAAAAGAAATATTATTGAAATCGTCAGAAGCTGTAATTTCTTTGAGAAAGGTAAAACAGCGACAAAACAGCATTATAATAAAGTACTTGAAGTAGCCTTCAAATCTTACTCTAAAGATGTAAGAAAACATGTTTGTTTGGTACGGACAAATGTCACATCATCGTGAGTTTAATAGTTTTGTTTAATGAAAATGAAAATTGTAATACAAAAATTATCGTTCCCACTAATCATGAAACATATAACAATCGTAATATTTGTCAAAATAATATGACTTTTTTTACTAACCATATCCTGCAATCCAAGTGTGATTTAACACTTTGGTTCAATTCATTCATTAATTTGAAAGTGAAGCCTTTCAACCCTAACCCACTACATTCATTTGGGCATAATATTTATTTATGTAACCCTAATTTAATTTGAGTTAATTTTGAGTTTTTTTTGTTACTTTAATACCTGTTGCACTCCATATGTTTGTTTTTCTTTATAAAGGGATCTCTTTTTTACTTTTTGTTTTACTTCTGCTGATATTATTCATCTTTGCAAAGCCACTGACAATCCCGGAGGGAAAAGGTGACGTCACAAAGTTATGGTTATGCTAACAATAAGTAAAGGTGATCATTGCAGTTCTCTACACTTCATGCAGCACTACTTTAAGTGACATGTTGGATGAATTGCGACTGCTTTAGACTTGCCAATAATGTAATGTCATTGCTGTTTTTCTTCTTACTAATCTAACTAGTCTTACTAATATAGTCAAAATGGAAAACACATCTTTTGGGTTCAACTCTGTGTTAACCCTGGACCCCTTTGTTATTCCACCTAGAGGAAAGTATCCCATATTTTTTCTTGGTATTACAATTTATTTTTTTGGCATTTTTTGCAACCTGACATTGCTGACTTTGATCATTCTGAGGAGGAACCTTCACAAGCCCATGTATTTTATCCTGTTTAGTCTTCCACTCAATGATCTGATCGGCATAACTGCAATGCTACCAAAAGTACTTTCAGACATTGTTACAGAGACAAATAAGGTTTACTATCCTCTGTGTGTTTTACAAGCATTCTTGCTTCACATGTACGGTGGTGGAGTTTTGTTTATTCTTGCAGCAATGTCTTTTGATCGTTACGCTGCCATCTGCATGCCGTTACGCTACAACTCTATTATGACCCCCAGAGTTGTCATCTGTATCATCTCTCTAGTTTGGGGTCTTGACTTTGTCTTGATTGTATCATTGTTCTCTTTGCAGACAAGAATTCCCAGGTGCAAATCTGTTATTATGAATGTGTTCTGTGATAACCCATCTCTACTGAAGCTCACATGTGGAAACACGACAGTCAATAATATCATAGGATTATTTAATACAGCTCTCATGCAAATTGTCAGTGTGTCTGTCCAGACATTTTCCTATGTGAAGATACTAATCACGTGTGTGGTTTCAAGGAGGTCTGATGCAAAGATGAAAGCTGTCAACACATGTGTTGCGCAGTTGGTTATAATAATCATATTTGAGGTTGTGGGAACGTTCACAATTTTATCGCATAGGTTCAAAAATGTCTCAGCTGACTTGCAAAAGATAATGGGCATGCTGATATTTCTTTTACCTCCGCTTCTCAATCCAATTGTATATGGGCTGTATACAAGTGAAATACGAAACACTCTGCTGAGAGTCTTAAAAAAGAGAAGAAGAATATCTGTCTGAACTTCACTCATCATAATCATCATCATTTGTACAGTACATACAATACAATATACAATATCAATTATCCAGCGCATGAACTTGAACACAAACTTGAATCACTTTTGCTCATTGTGGAAATCCTTCATTCTATATGGAAATCTTGTTTTCTAGTGTAGGACAGGTAATTTTACTCTGCATTTGAGAAACATCTATTTTTGTTGATATAGTTTTTCCTCAATAATAATAATAATAATAATAATAATAATAATAATAATAATAATAATTTACTTCTGTAAACTGTTTTGTAAAAGGTGGGGACCATATTTATCCCAGTCACTTCTAAGACCTTGAGTGTAGTGTTGAAAATTCATAATGATGCGGTGAAACTAGGTGAAACTGTGAATCTTACTGCAATAATCAACATATATTACATGACTATGTATACTTGTTTGCTTACAATTTTAAAAAGTAAAAATAAAACAAAAAAGCTTTTATGGTGAGCGGTTCTTTTGTGTTTCTTTTGATGTGTAGAGTGCTTTACGCTGTTTAAATAATAGTATATAATTCTAAATGAAGCTATAGGTGTCATACTAGTCTAATATTGAATACTTAAACATTATATTTTAATTTAAAGTCTTATGTAAAACATCTTGGATGTGTAGCATGTTCTTCGCATTTTCTTATCCTCACGTTTCAGATATTGTTTTCTAAAAAGAATGAACTTTGTAGCCAGTCTTTCAAAGTGTTCATATTTTTATTTACTGACTATGCACTGTATGCATCATGGCTACAGCAACTACTTATGTACAATGTATACAAGATGTGCTGATGTTTAATAAAATCTCGATATTCTGAAAACAATTTCATCTTGTTTAGTCATTTAATGAAAACAAATAATTAAAGTACAGACAATAGAAGGAGCCAATATATATAAATATAAAAACAGAGCAAAAAAGTACCATATGGCCGGATACTTAAATAGATGAGTGAAGAAATGTACAAAAACTGCAACTTAGCAGTGTGACATATAATGATATTTGCAATGTGCAAAGATAAAATCAGAGGAAATCTTCTTATCTTGTATCATTCATTATGTAGGTTGTCCTTTTTTTATAACTATAAAATGTCACACTCTGCATCTATTGTTTATTACACATTTAAGGAATTCTTATCAAAATGTTTGTGTGTTGTTTTTGTCCTCTCTGGTGGTTTGTTGGGGAGGAGGCATCGGCACTGGGGGTG